GGGGGGGAGGGGAGGATAGAAAAACGTCCAATATAATAATTATAAATATAAATATATACAATAATATGTATAATTTTGGAATCTGATAATGTTCTGTTGTAGCCACAGGATATACCAAGATACACACGATTTTTTCGTACATTTCAGAAGTTTTGGAGTTCTGGCAAAATCTAACAAATTTCTAGCAAAATGTTGACACCAGTTGTATACATAGGCGCAACTAAACCACCTATTTTGAGTGTGCTAAAATTATGGACGTCGATTATCATACGTATGATGGGTTTATTTTTAAGACAGTCGGTGGAGGCAAAGGGAACATGAAAAGGAGTAATAGATCGGGAGGAATGTTGAGGTACTCTGAAGCAGATTAAAGAAAGCAATTTAGGAGGTAATTTAAACACTTTACAATAGGTAACTACAGGATTCATATTTTATAATTTTGTATAATATAGAAATTTATCATAATTATTTTAACACTATTTATCATATGCATATGCATTGTTTGTAAGAAAGAAATCTGTACATTAGTATTAAAATTTACATGGATGAAATTTCATTTTTAGTCGTTACTATGAAAAACCTTGTTGCATTTTTTTTTTTTTTTTGGGGGGAGGGTCTCTAATTTTAAACGTGGAGGTAATAAAAATATTCTAGCATTACCCTTGTTGTACCTATGGTTGTATGGTATCAGCATAATGTACCAGTGTCAACCTGACAGACATACAATTTCCGTCTATGAATGTTTTTCAACTATAACTATAATTCAACGTTATTCAATTTATCGATACCTATAGCAAAAATTAAGTACTATTTATAATATATCAATAATAATTGTTTTGATTAAAGGCATATCCATGCATTTTCAAAGGGTGGGGATGTAATAAATAATAATTTAGTTGTTTTCTTTGTAATTTGACTAAAATATAATATAATTTTAAGATAAACTTATTATTAGTATTTAATTCATAGTTGTAGTTTTAAACAGGAAGGGTATATAACTCTTCCCCGACATCTGACGCGTAACTAATTGAGGTAGAACTGTATATAAAATTACCTGGGTATAATAAATTTGGAGCCAAGCGTGAGATCTATTGGTTTTACTATGAAGAATGTTTTATTTTTCTGTCTAGATAACTTTTTGATAATTAAACTTACTCAAATCGAAAAACGACAACAGACCTTTTTTTGTTGCATTTTAGATCTGGTTAGTGTATTTAGGAGGTCATTTTTTGATTTTTCTAGTAGCTTAAATAATAATTAAGAAAAACCGGAAAAAAGAGAAAAATTAAAGCGAACGAATTTATCTCGTACACAAAATTGTATATTCATTTATAAGCGTTGTATATCTACCAGAGATACTTATTAATCTAACAGAAAAATTACAAGGAACCTTTTTTGTTGAATTTTTAATCTGGTTAGTGAGTAAGAAAACCTCTTTTTGATTTTCAGTGTTTATTTTTCATATAATTTAGCATAACATGAAAATAAACGTAGAAAGAACAAAAACTTATATTTACTTTTTCTAACCATGGTAAAGCTTTTAAAACATTTTGGCGATTTTAAAGCTATTTACCTACCTATTTAATCAGATAATATTTGTGAATTTTTTACGTAGTTTTGATTTTTATACGTACTATGTGGATATAACTAGGACGATGATTTAAGGAGATTAGGTCATTTTTTTGATTTTCTCAGAAGTTTTCTCAATAAATTGGAAAAACCGGTAAAAAAACGGGAAAACGGAAAAATAAGTATACAATATTAAAGGAAATGTTTCATACATTTGAAATTATTTTAAAATAATATGACGTATATATTGTTGACAAAGCAACACTATCAACTGAACACCAATCAGAATCGTTTTTTTGTTAGCAATGGTTAATCGTGCTTAGAAATATATTAAATTTCCATCTGTACCCTATATTCCAAACTTCCCATAAACAGTGCGGAGTATGTCCGTCTTTTTTTATAATAGTTTTAAGATAAAATTTTGATGAAAATTGTAAATATTACGGCCTTTCAAATCATAAATAGACAAACTTCATCATTCAGGATTGGTTTTCGTTATCAATGGTTTATCATTGCTTACAAATATAAATTAATGAACTTTATGTATCCTATCTTCCTAACTATCCACTTACAACCCATTGCGTATCCATTGGCAGTATCGGCTACTTTTCTTTTCTTTTGTTACCCTTACTATGTACTACGTTATTGTTATTTTACTAGACTTTGATTATTTGAAAATTGTTTTACTTTTTTTTAACAGTGAATATAAATTGGGAATTTTTAAATTTAACATAAAAATATAATAAGCATTTGGAAATTTATAAATCACAGAAATATTCTCTTGAAATGAAAATAAAAAACTTTAAATATATATTTTATGTAAATGTAATGTTTGGGAAGTTTCTAAAAGTATTTTTGATGTGTCTGAACAGAAAATAACGTTACATAATATAAAAATATGAAGCCGTGAATATGTCTTTAATGATTTGTAACTTTCAAAATTCAAATAACACCTATAATTTTTTTTCTTATTTCGCAACGTTTACATTATCTATCTCTGATTTTAAATGTCTATAACTCGAAAACTTCTATTACTTGAGAAAACGCTGAGTCCACTAGGATTTCCTTACTATTGTTATGTTATTATAATCTCATTTTTAATATTATGAGTAAAACAAATTATTCTACTGTTATGTTTGATTAATGTTTTTCAGTTTTTAAAATGTTAAAAAAAAGAATATTCTATCCTAAACTGAAAAAAAAAAATAATGGGGCTGCCATTTAAAAAAGGAAGTTGTATTGCCACACTGATACTGAATGGGTTAACAATTTGAAATTTGCCAGAAAATATGTATTTTATTACCTTTTACTCCCTTTCATTCCCCGAACACTCCATTTCATTGCAAGTTCATCCAACTGAAATATTTAGTGGCCCCTCTTAGCGTGAACACATCGTATATCATGTTGTTAATTATAAACTATGTGGTTATGTTTACTGTATTTTTGCAAAATTTTGAAGATAGCTTGAATACATATAGGTATACTAAGTGTATAATTTAGGCATGATATACGAGTATACTGTATAAAATAAAAAAATAACGTCCGTGAAGTTGGCACAGTCTCGTGCTACAGATTTCAAACCTGTGTTATTATTTTGCAAATAATTTAATGTCATTTTTAAAATGTGCATATCCTTCGATTTTCGAAAAAAAATAAGTTTTTTTCTTTGCGGCAATTTTTTCAATTATACAGATTGATGTTACGTCAGCATACGGAACCGAAAAAAAAATTAGTTAAATGTGCAATTATATTATAATATTTAATACATAAAACATATAAATATAAATATTTGTTCAAACAATATCTATATTTTCCTATTTATAGTTTATACAATACTCGAATTACTCGATCAACGTTGAACAATTTATTGATGAATGAGAGCTCTACTCCTACACAAATCGGTAAAAACAAATTTATTATTCGAAATACATGTTCATTTGACTTTGTATCAGTAATCATTGTAATGGTATATATGGATAATATTAATTACAAATCATCTATTAATGGTAGCAATAGGTAATACATATTTACAGTTTTGTAAAGATTTAGTAATTAATGTTACTTCGAATAAAACGTATATTTATCGAGGAAAGTTATTGAAGATTATTATAACCTTCCGAGTGCAAAGTTTTATACAAAGTTACAACATTTTTTAAAACTAAACCAAAATAGGAACATATGTCTTGTTCAAACACCTCTTGCATAAATTATAAAAAGAAATTCTGTAGTCCAGCGTCTTCCAGACTGGGTCCATAAGGGTCCGCATGTATACCGGACGTTTGTTTACGAACGTAAATTGAAAATACTATATGGTATATATAAAAACGAAAATACTATTGTATAAAAGGGTTTAAAGGAGAAGGGGTTCTGCGATCATTTTTATTATCTCAAAGGGGACCGACGGAGAAAAAGTTTAGGGAACGCTGCTCTAATCCATCAATCATCATACGATTTACTGAGAGCTTTGAATCATTGGAAATGAACGTTCCTTAGTTACATATATGAACGTGAATATGGATGCACTGATTGAAATGGTGTTACATCAAAAAGTCATCTACAAAAATATGTGGTTATTGAAATTGAAATCTATACTGATCAACGTCAATTTTCAATGGACAATTTCCCAACAAATATAAATATCAAAAATACAAGGTTTGTAAAATTAAATGTTTTTCTAATTAACCAAAATATTATTCTGTTTTCAGACAGGTATATAAATAACAGGTTTAATATATATAACTAAAAAATTATAGTAATAATAATATATAATGTATATATTTTTTTGTTTGTGTTTTTTTTTTCAGATATATATTTTATGGTGCAGTTGCATATGAATTTGAACATTATATGGCATATATGTATAAGACCCACAACTAATAAATGGGAGTTGCATTAAAAAATATTATCATAATGTAAAAGACGTCGAAAAATAATGATATGTCCTATTTGAATATAATATAGAAATAGATGAAGATATACTTGTTTATATTAAAACTTAATGGAAGTGTTATCTTTCAAAATCGGTCCCATTTGTATAAAAAGATGTTGATTTTTTTTTCTATAAGTTTATAAATAAAATATTTTTAAACATATTTAAGTCTTTAAGTATTAATATATATCTTTAAAAACTTAATATGTATTTCCATCCAACTTCTATGTGGTACGCTATAACAATAATTATCACTCGCTAATTATTCAAAACCCAGGTGTATATAAATGTTGGATATGATATGTAATATAATAATAAACGAAGGTATAATAAGCTAGGACATTTTAATTAAAAATTGAAATAATATTGTACTTCCAATATTCATTGTAAAATAAATATTAAGTTTTGATTGGACTATGATCGTTTTAATGCAATCGAACCTTACATAAAACTCATTTGAACCAAAACAGTGTACTTAATAGACGTTTATTTTAATACTTTAATGAAACGAGTTTAATAAGTGCTTATACAATCTTATTTCTGTGTTCAAACAACTTTATTTAATGTTAAAGTAATCATACGTCAATCAATATCTAACATTTAATCAACTGTGAGTTTCTTTTTTTACTACATCTATGAAACTTTAAACATAATATAATATACAGGGTAATTTATTAAGCATGCTCACCCCCTTTTTTTGTTTTAATTTTACATATATTCAAATTCATATTTTTGGAATTTTTAAAGAATTTTTATTTCGTAAATTAGATGGTGTATTACTCAAAATATTTAATTTCTGTGAACCCGTTGCCAAGGTATTCAACTTTTAAGTATAGGCAAGGGGTGAGTAGTGAAGTACCATTTGTGTGGCGGCACGGCACGTAGCGATTTATTATTGTCCCGCCACACCACTCCTCTTACCTAAATTTAAAATTTCAATATCGTCAACGGATTGACGTGAATCAAAAATTTGAACACCAAAATTTATTTAAACTAATATTTTATCAGATATTTATAGAATTTTAATATTCGTTTTCATTTGAAAAACCAAAGTTGGTATCGCCACCTTTAGAATTTGAATACATATAAAGTAAAAACAAAAAAAGGGGGGGAGTATGTTTAATAAATAACCCTGTATATTTATCAAAATATTGCATTTATGTTCATTTACTCTATAATTATTTATTGATTAAATTGTATTGTTATTAATATTATATTGTAATATAACAATAATGACATGAACAAAAATAACACAACAAATTAAGAATTAATTTTATATTATTTTAATATAATATAGGCATTTTTATACCTATATAAGTCAATAAAAAATATTAACTAAACTGCGTTTGGAATTTTATTTATTTAAACAATTTGTGTTTTCTTTTATCTTAAAAGAAGACTGTTTGAGAATGTGAGAATGCATGGTGAATTTTATGATAATTTTTACATATTCTTCTAAAAATAATAATACACATATTAAAATAAATTAAAAATTTTAATTTCGTAATAAAATTCTTACCAAATATAGTTTTATTAACAACTAATTTTTGAAAACAACAGTTTTTTCCACGTATATTATAAGAAAATTAACATAATAATTTGGAAGAAAAGTGTATTTCGCTGATAAAATTTAAATTTCGATTTTAGTTTAGCTAGTATTCAATTCTTTAGTATACAATTCAATATAAATAAACTTGTTCTCAAAAATAAATTTTATTTTACTAAACTTATTTTTTTAAACTATGTATAATGAAATAAAATTAATCTGTAACTTGATATTAATTTTATCGGATATTGGTATTTTAATATTCTGATCGGTGGATTTATTTATTATAAACTATAAATAGGGAAATATAGATAATTTTAGAACAAATGTTTACATTTGACCATGATATACAAATTAGAATTAAATATATAATTATTTTTATATATTTAATATATTAAATATTATTGATATAATTGTAAGGTAAACTTAATTTTGTTTTTCGGTTATGTATGCTGACACAATATCAATATCTATATAATTGAAAATATTATCGCAAAAAGAAAAATTGTTTTCCTCAAAAAAAAAAGGAAGATATGGGAATTTGAAAAATGACTTAGACAATTTTAGTAAATAATTTGAAAAATAATGGTATAGGTTTAAAGTTTGTAGCACGTAGTGCTGGTGCCAACTTCACAAACGTAAATAAATAAAACATATTGCGTGCCAATAATATTATACAGTAGTTTTAAGTGTCAAACTTTATACGAGATGCTATGTTTTTCGAGTATTTTAACAGTTAGTCTATTACCTATACATATATATTATTTACAATATAATAAACTTAACTATTAAACTTTGGTGGCATGTCAAACCATCGATTTAATTGTTGTTTTTAGTTAACATATCATAATATTAGGTATAATAGTAATTCTAGTGTATTATTTATTTATAACTATTATTACTTTGTTGATACAATATAAATAATATACATAATAAATAAATAATAAAAAATATTATACATATTTTTTTTTTGAATAAATTTATTATGTATTTATGAAATTCGTCTAACGAATTACGACCATTTATATGAGGTTATCAAAAAACAGCAATAATTTAATAAACGTAAATTATTTTTTTAGTATTATTAAATAAATTATAAACTCGTTTGTATTATTGTTAGACTAGGTATATAGAATCACAACTAACCAAATGACTATAGCATACCTACCTGTTACACCTGTATTGTTATTTTATTTACAGCAATATTGACTATTTAATAATTTCTGCATGAAATGCAAAACTATAATGTCAATAAAGATTTTTTTCAAACTATTAAAAATAAAACGAAACACTATTGTACTCTCATTAATCGTAATAAATAATAATTTGTTATTATTATCATACAAAAAATCTGACTTATTCGACTTCTGATAAATGTTGCGAATTAAATCGACGAAAACGATATTGCTCGAAAATTATCTTACAGAATTAAGTACCTAGTTAACTTTTCAAAACTGTTATTATAACAATTACGTGTTATTATTGCTATTTTTTTCTACCTTTTTTACCATTAATATTGACGTTTTACCGATGAAAAAAATACTTAGGTACAAAAATTACCTAAAATATTCACAATAATATAAAAATATTATAATGTCCTAATCGTTACATTAATGCGCAAATAACTGGCACGTACATGGTACACTGCACATAAATCTGTAAAATTATTAATGAAATTATAGAGATAACGAGCGATTTACTTTTTTGACTTAAAACAAAACACACGTGTCCCGTTTTTTTTCGTAATCGAAACGACGATTATGTCGTCGGGACCCATTTAAAACTTTAACATATATTACACAGGGTGATATTTTTAAGCGTATTTTATTCATTTTAATCAATATTACATTATTTTTGTTGTATCATTGATATAAAACAACTTTTGATTGGCATATATATATAATTGATACTCCTGAAATGATATACAAATCTATTAGGTATCGGAAAATATTATATTATATACGGTCTTCAATATTTTTGAAAAAACCACATAATTTAAATAAAACTAGCGTTTAGGCTTGATATAAGAACGGTACGGGTGTGTATAAAAAAGATCACCCTGTATACCATAAAAAAAACCTACACACACGACGAGGGCAACAAAAAGTCGCAACTCGTAGCGTATATAATACATATAGACCGATTATATAATTTTTTAATCGGACACGACGAACGATTAATACAAATATTTAACACAAATTGTTATAATATTAATGACGACTGCTGCAGCGGAGTGACGACATTGTATATTATTATGACCATGATAATATCTACTGGTTGAGATATGTATATTTTTTTTAAATTATAAGCCGGCTATTTTTTCTTTAGGCACATTGTTGTATTTCTACCTACAATTTTTTTATTTTTTAAAAAACTATTCTCGTAATTCTTATTATATTAGTAATAATAAATTACTAAATAAATTGCAATGCAATTAAAACTCGAATGATTTCGTTTTCATAAAAAAAACAAAATGCACTTAAGTCCACACTGTAGTTTAAATATCGCGATAATAATCGACAAGTTTGCAATTTCTCGAGGTGTCGATGGCACCGTCAATTCGGATGAAGAACATTTTATCAATAAAAGTTGTTTTTTTTATTTAATTATTTGCATTTACTATTGACATATCTTGACGAATTGTAGTTCGATCAGTTTTAATTTTATTAATTATGGGCCTACACATGGCCTGTTTTTTTTTTTATTGTTCAAAACATGTTTAACGGGAAAAACTCTCTTGCCTCGTGGCTCGTGTAATGGTCGGACTTCAATCATTTTTTTTTTTTTGTAAAGAAGAAATATTCGGTAAAGATATTCGACATCAACTATCCTTAGTCCTCCTTGTTTTTCTTTACAGTAGGATGAAATATCTACAAAAAACTAATGATGACAATCGTGATAATAATATTATATGTTATTTCATTAGTCGTGTTCACTAATCATATCAAACATATCATTTTCTAATGATTTTGCAAAACTATAATAAAGGTCATGCG